TCACTTGGTTTCTTTTCTGTCTTTTGAAGATCTTCTCTACTAGGAGCTAGTGATGTATTGTATTCATACTGCTTCATAAAATTGTAAGTCAAATCATGCCAACTTTTGACCTTACTTTTGTCTAAAGTAGAGAACCAAGCATCTGCAGGACCTGTCAGACTGTCTTGAAAGTAATGTATCATTACCTTCTCATCATTGGCATAAGGAGCCATCTTCCTACAATACATCGTCAAGTGGGCATAAGGACAACTAGTGCCATTGTACTTATCAAACTCAGGCAATTTAAACTTATGGGGCAGTTGAATGTTTGGGAAAAAACATAAAGATGAGATGTCAACCGGTTTATTGGTTTGGACACCTTGCATCGATTTTAGTGTTTCCTCCATCAACTGCACCTTTGCTTTAATTGCCTTGTCTTCATCCTCTGTGATTGACTTGACAACTTGAGTCTCTTCTTGATCATTAGATTGAACTGTAGCAACACCAGCATTTAGAACAAATGGCTTTGTCCTAGAAGTCCCACCAATAGTTGGATTTGGTGGGCAAGATGACATTGGCTCCTTTCCAAGAGTAGATGTGGCGATAGGAAGACTTGCCACTGGAACATTTCCTTCAAATAAGGGACTTGTTGTCAAAGGTGCCCTTGTGACTAAGGTTGCTTGAAGAGATTGGAAGGAAGCCATCAATTCCTTCAAAGTATTTTCCATATTTTCAACACGATTTTCCAGAGCAACCTTCTCTAAATTAGCTTCATCAGCCATCTTCCTTGCAAGAGCTCTAGTGAGAATAGGTGAACAAACTCTTGGATAATTCTTTTTAGGACCAATCTTTCAACACCTAACGAAAATATGAGCATTATTAACAAATCATGAATTTATCTAATTGGTATTTTGAAAGATAAGTTCCCAAAGTTCCCATTAATGAGTAAACCTAACTTCTAATTATTTATTTTTATTTTTACACATGGATTCTTCATTGTCAAGAACAACTTTAGCCATTTGTATGCCAAGCAATTGTCACGTCAACCAGAAACATGAGGAGATTGCCCCCTTCATAATCTTTTAGAATTTTTTTTTTTAAGTAAAAGAAAAATAATGAGGAGATTGCCTCCCTCATATCTTTTCTTCTTTTTATTGAGGAACTTGCTTTTTCTCAACTAGTAAAATTCACTTTGTCAAGATTACTCAAACTATTCCAAGCAGCAACCAAGTCTTTTACACAAGGTCTTTTGGTCTGCACAGAGAATCCATCCTTGTGTAACTTGTTCTTCTTGGATAATGATAGATATTCTAACTCTAAATTCATCCTTTTTTCCCTTACTGTTTTTTTTTTCAAAGAATCCATGTGTAAAATAATCAATTACCTATTTATTAAAATAAAGAAAAAGGAGAGTTAATAAATGACATACCTCTTGGTCAAATTCCTCACCTAAGAAACAAAAAAACATTGTTTAAAAACAAAATACTCCCAATGTGTCCTATGTATATGGTTCTTAGACTTTGAAGGTGGTTTACTAGGTTGGCCGCCCTAGGGTTAAGTTTTGTTTAAGTCCATTACATGCGGTTTCTTAGTGGATCCTATACGATTAGGCTTTTTCAACTGTTAACTTCCATAAGTCAACAATTATTGACTTCCATAAAGTCAACAATTGCCAACTTCTATAGAGTTAACAAGAGGTATTTCATGACCTAATACAGCAGGAGCATTATGGCTGTCAAGCCATATTAACCCACAGGGATAAATCTCACTTCACAAAGAAAGCAGTGCACTTTTCATTGCTCCATGAGTTATCCATCTATCTAGAGGTCGGGTTCACCTCGTCAAGGACAAAAATGATATGCAAGTGAGGTGTGTGAGGGAGTATACACAAAGTTAACACATGAAAATAATAAAGTAACAAAATAATAAAAAAAAAACTTACAAGATACTTCATGCCACCTACAAAACAAAAGTTAGTAATTGAAAAACCCCCAAAATTAAAGTATAAATGGCTTGACCCTTCAATGTTTCCCAGTTGAGTCGCCAAACTGTTGACGTGCCAAAATGGATGGAGTCGCCATCTATCCAAATGAGGTAGGATAGATCACCAAAGTCTACGCAGAAATTGACTAGGCTCGGAGGGTCGATTAAGCATGGGGAAGGTGTTAGGCACTCCACAACTTCCAAATAATATGGTTACCATCTATTTTAATTTTGGGGACTTTTCAATTTTATATAACAAAATAATAATAATTACCCAAGAACATAAAATAAAATAAAAAACAAAAACTTCAAAACCCCATTATTGTCTTTTTCCATCCCTTTTTTTTATTTTGTTTTCTTTTTTTTTTTTGATTTATCAATAATAGCTACCACCCAAGAACATAAAAAAA